GGACCAACCTGCTCCATGACGGTACAATCTTACACGGGCATTCAAATCATCTCACCACGCCAACCAAACCATGAAGTCGCCTTGAAAGAAAAGCATAGGTATTTGGTACTTATTTTGAACAGGAATTACTTCTAGATGTCAAAAGGAATATTTATTTTTTCAAAGAAATCCCTGTTACAAATGGAGGCTCCTCCCAGTGTACCAGTAGCCACATGTAAAATATTGGGGACAAGAGGGTTTGTTGAAGAAAAATGAAGGACAACACATTCAGTCTATATGTATGCAAGTGTAATACACTTACATTAGTTTATGATGCATCCTCACACAAGCAGGAGCCAAAAAACAATTGTGTCTATATTATCATGTCCAGGTATGTCATCACAAAAATAATGGTGGAGCATCCATCTCTGATAACTCGCATAGACACTTAGCATAATTCCTGTTCTTCTCAACATAATAGGGGTTGGGAGGGGATCAATTTAAGTATTGCCAAATGTTTTTCCTCGTGCTTAGCTAGGAGTGGTAACATCTTGATCAGTCAATGACATTACTACCTCCCTAGCTCTCTCTTGGATTCAAAGTATCAGAATCTACCAGACATACACTCTGCCAGCCTCATCACCAACATCCAGATATACTCTTTATCCTCCAGTAAGTATCCTGGAAGAAGCAAGTAATGTGTAATGTCCATCAATGTGGCACTATAAACAGCTGACTATTATCTGGGCAAGGATCCGCTGACAGAAACACGTGTGGTAGCTTCTCAATCTGTTGTGGGAGGTGTGTCTGATGTCCCGTCTCAGTGAGGGACTGGTGTCTATATGTGTTGAACCTGTTGTCCAGTGAGAGACACTGATAACTTAATGGCCCCTGGAGTTGATGGAAGCTACATTTGGTGGCCCACCTGTGGAAGTGAGTGAAGAGTACTCTGTGTTACATATAGGTATTGCCATGGAGAATGGAGGTGGTATGAGGTATAACGCTTGTACAGAGATGTACAGGCACACATGTTTCGCTTTTGGCTGATTGTGCTCTGCTTGATTTATGGCGATACTATAATGATACTATACTGATACTATACCGAAGATTAACATGGATGCCACACACAAACACAGCACACTCAGACTCCTAGCCTGAGTTCTCACATAATTGAAAAATCACCAGTCAGGGTAACAACAAGTTTCATATTATAATGACTTAATGGTATGACACATCAGTGAATGGAACTAATGACCCTCTGCTCTCCTGGCTGTTAGGGACTCACAGAAGATTTGTTTTAATGGTGTTCAGATCAGTTTTAGTGCTGTCAGATAAGTGGATCATTGATTAATCATTAGCAAGCTGATCTTCCTTCAGTAATAGAGGTTGTAATTGTCACAATATTTTCTTGGATCCAGTTATGACCTGGTGACATGGTTCCCAGATAGCATTCAGACGTTGGCCCAACATTGGCAATGGTTTTGCAAACATTGCCAACGTTGGGCCAACGTCCGAATGCTATCTGGGTTGATGGAATGTCAACATACCCTGACGGTGTGAAGTGTTTATTTTATCAATCACTGGCTTGTCTGGTCCAAACTCAAATTACAGACCACGGCTATATAGCTGGAATATTGCAGGAGTGTAGCTTTAAGCCTCCAGCCCCACTGCTCATGTGTAGTGTAGTGCCATCAGACTGTAGATATACTTAGCTTTGCATCTCCCACAGAGCACTTCTTCACTTCACACCCTACCTACTAAGTGAGTTGTTTGGGAACCTGCAAAAGAGTACTCCGTCAGTCATCAAGCATACTTTTATTCTGTGAAATGCAAAATCATCAATAAACTGTGCCAGACACATTCTGGCACTGAAGTACTGTTCTTTGGTATATCTGTGGATGTGATACTTACTTACATGGTTCACATGTTTGTCAGCCATTTCCCGGTGTGGTGGTCTAACTACAGCAGCTGCCAATCTGTAATCATAGGGATAGACACATTCTGTTATAGTGATAGACACATTCTGTAATCATAGGGATAGACACATTCTGTTATAGTGATAGACACATTCTGTTATAGGGATAGACACATTCTGTTATAGGGATAGACACATTCTGACACATTCTGTAGACACATATAGTGATAGACACATTCTGTAACATTCTGTTATAGGGATAGACACATTCTGTTATAGGGATAGACACATTCTGTAATCATAGGGACACATTAGTAATTCTGTTATAGGGATAGACACATTCTGTAATCATAGGGATAGACACATTCTGTTATAGTGGGATAGGATAGACACATTCTTCTGTAATATTCTGGGATAGACACATTCTGTTATAGTGATAGACACATTCTGTAATCATAGGGATAGACACATTCTGTAATCATATAGGATAGACACATTATAGTAATCATATAGGGATAGACACATTCTGTAATTCTGTAATATAGGATAGACATTCTGTTACATTCTGTTATAGGGATAGGGATAGACACATTCTGTTATAGGGATAGACACATTCTGTTATAGGGATAGACACATTCTGTTATAGGGATAGACACATTCTGTTATAGGGATAGACACATTCTGTTATAGGGATAGACACATTCTGTTATAGGGATAGACACATTCTGTAATCATAGGGATAGACACATTCTGTTATAGGGATAGACACATTCTGTTATAGGGATAGACATAGTAATCATAGGGATAGACACATTCTGTTATCACATTCTGTAATCATAGGGATAGACACATTCTGTTATAGTGATAGACACATCTCTGTTATAGGGATAGACACATTCTGTAATAGACACATATAGGGATAGACACATTCTGTAATCATAGGGATAGACACATTCTGTTATAGTGATAGACACATTTCTGTAATCATAGGGATAGACACATTCTGTTCATATAGTGATAGACACATTCTGTTTCTGTAATCATAGGGATAGACAGTTATAGGGATAGACACATTCTGTAATCATAGGGATAGACACATTCTGTTATAGGGATAGACACATTCTGTTATTCACATGTTATAGGGATATATAGGGTTATAGACATTCTGTTATAGGGATAGACATTCTGTAATCATAGGGATAGACACATTCTGTAATTATAGTGATAGGGACACATTCTGTAATCATAGGGATAGACACACATTCTGTAATCATAGTGATAGGCACATTCTGTAATCATAAGGATAGGCACATTCTCCAAGGATAGGCACTATCTGTAAGGATAGACACTATCTGTAAGAATAAAGATAGGCACATTCTGTGATGATAAGGATCAGCACATTCTGTAGGAACAGGATAGGGTATTTAATTTTGAAGGAAAAAGAATAGACACAGTGACAAAAGCAAAGTAGAACAGGAACAGAGGGTACAGAACCATATAGGCCCAGTTTGTGGGGAACGTGACAGGCGTGTTCTGTAGGGAATGGAACATTCTGTAATACAGGAAGGAATGCTTCTCCCACACTCTTCAAGTCATAGACTACAGTGATAACACGGAAACATTGCTATGGAATAACGTAAAATAAGAATGATGCCGAAGCTCAGATTATCACAACATGCAGTTAACAACTCAAGAGAAACTCTTCTGGTCCCGATCCAGTTGGTTGCACACAAAGTCAGGCACCTAACCCGCTCAGCCACCGTGACTTTTGTGGAATAACTGTAAACAATTATGACGTCATACGTCCGGCATCACGCAAGTGATATCTTCAACGGGTGACTAGAAAGTATATTTTATGTATTTAGGTTGACTTTATTCAAGGTGGTCACATACAGGAGTGCTTTCTGTAGTGGTCTGAGGTATTATCTGCCATAAGAAGTGACTAAAGGGAATTGGGTGGACACAATGTCTGATGTGTGGTGTCTCTGTATATGTCGCTCTGTTTCGCTGTATCCTCTCATTACAACATCAGCATGTGGTTCGGGTGTTCTTTTAGAAAATACGACCCGCCACCTGTTCATGTTTGTGTACATTGGAGGCATTTCTTTGAGGTACACCATATCTTCCCTACATGCCGCTTATCAGGTATAGAGCAAAGGTGAGACCCAGGCCACCATATGGAAGCTTATACTGTGTAGAGGAGTCTACACAGTGTAGATCTATCAGGTACAAGCTTGACCCCCTTCCCCTCTCTCCCTACCCCTCGCTGTGTCTCCTCACCCTTCCTTTTCTCTCCCCACCCTTCCTTCTCTCCCCACCCCTCGCAGTCTCTTTCCACCCTCTTCCTCTCTCCTCACCCCCTCCTTGTCTCTCCCTCACCCCTCCTCCCTCTCCACACCCCTCCCTTTCTCCCCCACCCCCTCCTCCCTCTCTCCTACCCCATCCTGTCCCTCCTCCTCTCTCCCCCATCTCCCCACACCCTCCCTTTCTCCCCACCCTCCTCCCTCTCCCTAAACCACCCTGTGTCTCCTCACCCCTCACTGTCTCTGCTCACCCCTCCTTCTCTCTCCCTACACCACCCTGTCTCTCCCCACCCCTCCCTCTCCCCCTCTCCCTACCCCTCTCTGTCTCTCTCTCACCCCTCCCTCTCTCCTCACCACCCTGTCTCCCTCTTCACCCCTCTCTGCCTCACCCTCCCTCTCTCTCTCCCTCCCCCCCCCTCTGCCTTCTCTCTCCTCACCCTCCTTCTCTTTCTCTCCCTTTCTCTCCCACCTCCCTCTCGCTACCCTCCCTTTCTCTCCACACCCTCCTTCTCTCCTCCCCCTCCTCTCCCTACCCTCCCTTTCTCTCCCCACCCTCCTTCTCCCCCCACCCCTCCCTCCCTCCCTCTCCCCTCCCTTTCTCTCCCCACCCCTCCTCTCCCTATCCTCCCTCTCTCTCCCCACCCTCCACTCATCCCCTCCCCTAGCACTACCGTTGGACCCCAACACATGGCAGCATTTAGTGATAACTGTTTGTGTAGTACTGTGACTGTTATCTCCTACCGAGACAGATACCCATCCAAACACTGCCTTCCCTTGACCTGTTTGCTCTGTTCCTGTTCCAGTCTTGCTCCCACCAACAAATCACTTTGATGACCTCCCTCCTTAGATAAATGTGACACAACCTTTTGTTCTTGTATGGTGTTAATATGGAGTCCTGATAGTTTCATCTGATTGTAGTCAATCACTTTATTGGCTTTATTAGAATTTCCTCATAACTTTGTATTTTTTTCTGAGAAATACTTTATTCAAAGTTTTAAATATCATTGCTCATATTGTTAATGTAAAATTAATGCTTTACAGGTAAAGTAGATATAACAGTACAGGTGATGAAAGACATTGGTTGCTATATAATGGTTGTAAATGCTAGACAGTGTTTCAGATGTGCTATCACATGTCTATAATGCTAAACAGTGGTTCAGTGTTTTCAAAATATCAAATTTCTCTTGGCAAGAAATGTTGAGACACTTAGAAGGCTATTTTGCTGAGGGTCATGCTTTCAAACTCTACCTGCTATTTACATTACACTAAAAAAATGAGTGTGCTGGTATGTATATGTATCATGATACAGTCTTTGCACATAGAAGTAGCAAACTGACCTCTTCATCTTACAATAGGATACTAAGGGGTTCTCCCAGATTGACCCGGTTAAGGAGCCGTGGTGAGTCAGGACTTTACCTGTATCAAGTGGTAAACATCAAACTTTTCTCCCTCATCTAGCTTATTAGGCTGACATCTAGTCTCTGAAATGAATATTTTACTGAAATATACTGTTCATAAAAGATAATCATAAAATATAATGAAAAAGAGACAAGAGATTTTTTTCATTTTCAGACTGTGAAACTGTGGAGATCTAGACTTGCCACATATTCTCGACTTGCATGGGCTTTCTTGTATAAGTTTGTTTCAGACTACAAGCTGATGTGCAGGCTGTGTAATAGAAGTACAGTAATGTTCAAAACAGAGTTAAACTCACTCTCACTCACTCACTCACTCACTCACTCACAGACTAATTTTGTCAAGCAAAAGTAATTCACCAGTAAGGTATGATGATTTTTCTTTAATTTAGCCATTCTTCATCATTGGTCACTTCAGTGGCATTTAGGTTCAAAGAATATTATGGAGATTTCTAGGATGGTAGAAGTGTGCCCATCTTTGAAGTTTGTGATGCCTACTTCATTGGTATGCCAGCCTTGTGTGGAGTCAAGTGTCTGTGTGCTGTCTGTAAGGGTCTGATACAGACAGCACCACATCTGTGTTCACTTCTGTCCTAACCTTCTGAAACATGGCCAGGATTAGGAACATGTCTGGCAGCCATGAAGGTCAAGGTCAACAACCCCTGATAACTGTAATTGAGCATATATTGCCATATTGACCTTGAAAGATTCTATGTTCAACCTAGGCTTTGGATGATGGTAGGCTCCATCTTGGCCTTGGATGATGGTATGGCTTCCATCTTGGCCTTGAGGAGGAGGTATGTTCCACCTTGGCTTTGGAGGTGTAAGCATGTTCCAGTTGAATGAGGAGGGAACATTTCACCTAGGCTTTGAATACTAGTAAGTTTCACCTAGGTCTTGAATGATGATATGTGTTCCACCTAATCCTTGGGCGATTGTATTTTCAACCAGGGCCTTGGATGATATGTTCCACCTGGGCCTTGGACGATGTTCCAACTATTTTGATGTGTAAAGAAGGAATAAATAGGTAATTCAGTGATCATTTCTTTGCTGGTACTGAGGATTAAGGTGTCCTGACAAGAGTCATTTAATGTTGTCAGACCAAATAATCTGTGGAATGGAACAATTTTGACTTGCTTGCGTGTTCTGGAATGGAATCAATAGAGATTAAGGTCCTTGTCAGTGAGCAGTTACATTCAGTAGGGTCCAAGTATTGAAAGAACAGACTGTTCTTCATGTCTGTGGGCCATCTGAGCCCACTGAGGAAACACATTTAACTGACCAGGTGGTATGGAAACATGACAGGGATATAATACCTTTAACCACTACTGCATGATCCCCAAGCTCACAGCAGCTTTTGTTCTGTAATGCCAGTTCAATACATCACATAAAACTCCTTACGGTGTTTCTACAACAATGTCTGTTGAATACGCACTCGACAAATTTGACTTCTCACCCGAACCTGACAGCATGATCCATGGTGTGATTGGACAATTATACCACATCACTTGCTTTTATTTCATTTCCTGATGTGGTCAAAGCATCTTCCGCTACATGGCCAGAACATTGCCCTTGTGGTCCAAGCAGTTGGTCAATAAGTAATGTGTTTATCTCGCTTCCTTGTCAGGTGCATTATTCAGTGGGTGGAAACATTGTTTCAGGTTTAGTTTTACATCTGGAGGTGTTATCTTGAAGCACACTTGAAACAATATTTTGTCTTAAGAAGCAATATATTACCCCTGAGAGTGATGTACAGGCACTACAGTACATCCAAGGGTTGCATTGTGTTGGAGAATAGTGTTCTAAAATAAGTTTGATGCATACCTGAACAAATACTCTGTCTTTAGAGGCAATATATTATCTTTCAGAGTGATATACTACAGTATATCCAAGGGTTGCTTTATGTTGGAGAGTGGTGTACTACAGTATATCCAAGGGTTGCATTATGTTGGAGAGTGGTGTACTACAGTATATCCAAGGGTTGCATTATGTTGGAGAGTGGTGTACTACAGTATATCCAAGGGTTACATTATGTTGGAGAGTGGTGTACTACAGTATATCCAAGGGTCCAAAGGGTTGCATTATGTTGGAGAGTGGTGTACTACAGTATATCCAAGGGTTGCATTATGTTGGAGAGTGGTGTACTACAGTATATCCAAGGGTTGCATTATGTTGGAGAGTGGTGTACTACAGTATATCCAAGGGTTGCATAACATGTTGTTGGAGAGTGGTGTACTACAGTATATCCAAGGGTTGCATTATGTTGGAGAGTGGTGTACTACAGTATATCCAAGGGTTGCATTATGTTGGAGAGTGGTGTACTACAGTATATCCAAGGGTTGCATTATGTTGGAGAGTGGTGTACTACAGTATATCCAAGGGTTGCATTATGTTGGAGAGTGGTGTACTACAGTATATCCAAGGGTTGCTATTATGTTGTTGAGAGTGGTGTACTACAGTATATCCAAGGGTTGCATTATGTTGGAGAGTGGTGTACTACAGTATATCCAAGGGTTGCATTATGTTGGAGAGTGGTGTACTACAGTATATCCAATGTTGGAGAGTGGTGTACTACAGTATATCCAAGTTTGCATTATGTTGGAGAGTGGTGTACTACAGTATATCCAAAGGGTTGCATTATGTTGGAGAGTGGTGTACTACAGTATATCAAGGGTTGCATTATGTTGCATGGTGTACTGTATATCCAAGGGTTGCATTATGTTGGAGAGTGGTGTACTACAGTATATCCAAGGGTTGCATTATGTTGGAGAGTGGTGTACTACAGTATATCCAAGGGTTGCATTATGTTGGAGAGTGGTGTACTACAGTATATCCAAGGGTTGCATTATGTTGGAGAGTGGTGTACTACAGTATATCCAAGGGTTGCATTATGTTGGAGTGGTGTACTACAGTATATCCAAGGGTTGCATTATGTTGGAGAGTGGTGTACTACAGTATATCCAAGGGTTGCATTATGTTGGAGAGTGGTGTACTACAGTATATCCAAGGGTTGCATTATGTTGGAGAGTGGTGTACTACAGTATATCCAAGGGTTGCATTATGTTGGAGAGTGGTGTACTACAGTATATCCAAGGGTTGCATTATGTTGGAGAGTGGTGTACTACAGTATATCCAAGGGTTGCATTATGTTGTTATCCAAGGATTATGTTGGAGAGTGGTGTACTACAGTATATCCAAGGGTTGCATTATGTTGGAGAGTGGTGTACTACAGTATATCCAAGGGTTGCATTATGTTGGAGAGTGGTGTACTACAGTATATCCAAGGGTTGCATTATGTTGGAGTGTGGTGTACTACTACAGTATATCCAAGGGTTGCATTATGTTGGAGAGTGGTGTACTACAGTATATCCAAGGGTTGCATTATGTTGGAGAGTGGTGTACTACAAATTGTTAACTGTAATTATAACTTGTTGAAAGGTGATAGACTTTGTAACAATGTCAACTAGGATTACTCATATCTGCATGCAAAATTTTACATGTTGCTCGTGGGTGATCTGCTACATAATGTCATCAGACATCATATTTTGTTGGTGGATATATTACAATATCTGCAGGGTCTTAGTGCAATATTTTACAGTGGTAACAATGGTTACATTATGTTGGCAGGTGATATGCTACATATTGTTATCAGACATATTTTGTTGGTGGATCAAAATCAACAGTGTTTAAGGGCAATATTTTGCAATATCAACAGGGTTTCATCCTATTTGCAGGCAATATATTACAACATCAGCAAGAGTTTCAATGATCCCCCATCCTTCATCCCATCTTGACAACCATGAGCGTGGTCAGCAACACCTCCATGACAGACTGGTCGCCCACTCTCTTGCATCTGTGTCTCCACTCATTCTGATTCCACCCCCAGTGTGCTATTGGTTATAAAACATTAATTGCCCATTTTAACTGACTGGACAGATAATAGCGTGATGTTGAACAGCTAATATTGATTCAAGGCCGTCCTGGCAGATGTCAGCCTTCAGTCCATCACGCACTTCCAAGATGGCACCTGTCAATTCTCAAGTGAAGAATGCTTATGGGAACCTGATTGAACAGAACGGCATATTCCATCTACTTGATTATTTTAAGCTTTATTGCAATATCTGAGATCTTTGCTGTGAAATGATGATGTTGCTAAGAGATGTGGGTTGCATTTGTCACCATTTTCAGTGATATCATGCAGTATCAGTTCTAAATGGGATGGGTCTGTTGGGTAGTCTAGTGGTTATAGTGTTTGCTCATCACACCAAAGGCCAGGGTTTGATTCTCAACATGGGTGCAATATGTGAAGCAAATTTTTAGTGTCCCTTTAGCAAACAGGTGCACAGGGGGATGATGTTTTCACCGTACAGGAAACCAACAATGATCATTTGGTTCAAATGAGTGAGTGAGTGAGTTTAGTTTTACACTGCAC